CGCAAGCCTCTTCGCCCAGCCGGAGTTGAGCGCCATGTGGAGGGATCCGTCTGCAGTTTAAAGTGGCCTGGGGCTGCAACAGGCAGGGAGCCCAGCCTGCCGTGGGAGTGCTGCAGCCTGCTGGCCAGGAAACACTTAGGTAAACTCCTCCCAGCCAGTACCTCTCTCTGGTATCCCAACCCCTCCTGCACCCCAACTCTCTTTCCCACGTCACCATTCAAGCCCTCTGCATCCCCTGCCCCAGGTCACAACTCCCTTTAAAGTGGCCTGGGGCTGCAACAGGCAGGGAGCCCAGCCTGCCGTGGGAGTGCTGCAGCCTGCTGGCCAGGAAACACTTAGGTAAACTCCTCCCAGCCAGTACCTCTCTCTGGTATCCCAACCCCTCCTGCACCCCAACTCTCTTTCCCACGTCACCATTCAAGCCCTCTGCATCCCCTGCCCCAGGTCACAACTCCCTCCCAAACCTGTACCCCTCCTATTTCCCTCCCCCAGGTCAGCATCCTCTCCTGCACCCCCACTCCCTCCCTGACCCTATACCCCAATCCCCGACCCAGGTCACAATCCCCTCCTCTACCCAAACACCCTCTTAGACCCCACACTCTCTCCTGTACTCCAGTTCCCTACCCCGTGCACCCTCCTGCACTCAACCTCCAACCTAGACCCTGCACTCTCTCCACAGAAAAGTGCAGCCCTTAACTATTTACCAAAATCTTGGAGTGCCCCCCCCCCGCACCAAAAATTATTGCCCATCTCAGTTTTAGAGGTTCAACCTATACTATATTATACCATTCTATCTCTGCAAAGAAATCCATCCATATACACATAAAGGGCTTGAATCTATACATCTATTTAAAAACAACAAAAGAAATCCCTACAATTAATTAATAATAATTAATAACCCAGGTTATGCTGTACATTTTAAAACATCTTTGTTCTCTCAATGAATGCTGTTGATGTCAACCTTCATGATAACAAGTATGCAAGTAAAATGAAACTTATGTTCCCTTTGAATTCAGTTCCAAGCTCTCAGATTATTTTATGCAATACAGAATTTTGTGAGCAACTGATCTTGGAACATTTTAATTATCCTGAACACCTGGCATAGTTGTGAACCCAACTGCTTATTTCATAAAAATATAAAATATCACTAAAATAATTTATCAGCATTTATTTGTATATTCACCTCAAATTGAAAAATGTGAAAAATCACAAAGAACTGAAACTGTTGGACGAGTGATTGCTGATTGCCATGTACTATTAAGGTTATTAAGGTTCTCCAACTGTAATGCCAATTATGTTCAGGGGCTGACTTTAGTGCTGAAATCCCACTTGTTTTTTAAAAATAAAATAATAGTACTAATAATACAACACAAGACAGGCCACAAAAATTATTTAAATTCCTATTTGCCTTCTGTTTCTCATGCTTTTAATGTTGATATTTTTAAAGCTTGTCTCTGATGCTATGAAGGTTAGAAACTTACATTAAAACTAGGCTGAGATTCTCAGGTAACCAAATACACCCAGGAGCTGGGGCTTTAAGGAAAACATCAAAGATTGCGACACTGATAATAAAATGGGAAGAGTTGCCAATACTCACTGATTTCTTTCTTGTAACTAGTTCAAAACAGATTCTGGTTCTGAATTTTTTTACTGGTATAGCAAAGTGTTGATAGTCCTGGCAAGCAATGAGATATTGGAATTTAAAAACATTTCATTCTAATTACCATTTCCCTTGTAGCAGTGAATTTCAAGATGATTTGCAGGGTTACTAACTCTCATAATTTTATCATTAAGTCTCATAATTACACGCACTCTTTCTTATAACATGAGTCCAGCTTTAACCATAGAAACTGTCTCTTATAGAATGTGGCATCATCACCCATTTCTCTCAGTGAAAATAAAGCCAGCCAGCCCTCAGACAAGTTTATCTGTAGTCTCAGGGAATGTCTACACTAGGGAGTTATTTTGAAATAACTCCCCTTATTTCAAAATAACAAGGCAAGTTTCCACGCTACCAATCCTGTTATTTCAAAATAAAGGGCTTGTTATTTCAAAATAATAACCCCTGCTCGTGAAGAGGAATAGCACTATTTCAAAATTGTTATTTTGGGAGTTGTTATTTGAAAATAACTTATTTCAAAATAACTCCCTAGTGCAGACATGCCCTAATGAGGAAATGAGACTATTCCTAGTAAGACTGCTGCAATTCCCTTTCTTTACAAAAAGACAGAACCCAGGCCATCCTTAGGGAAGATGGCTGTTGCTCACTGGTTAGGGGGAAAGATAGGGTGTTGTAAAGAGATGGGAAATTGGGGGTTGAGGGAGACCGAAGAGGTCAAGTGAAGGTAAAGACCAAGTAATGTATTAGAAGACAGAGGAAAAGACTGAGGGATTGCAGGAAATATGAAGGGTAGGAGAAAAGACTGATAGGAGTAGAGGAATGTGGGTTGGAGGGCAGAGATTGGGTGCAGAAAGTAGACTGGGAGATGTAATTAAATTTGTGGTATAGGAACTGGGATTTCAGAAGAATATGTAAGGCAGAAGGAGATGAAATGGAATGAGGGAATTTAAGGTCCGGGGGAAAATTTCGAAGAATAGGGGTATGTCTACACTGCCACCCTAGTTCGAACTAGGATGGCTAATGTAGGCATTCGAAGTTGCAAATGAAGCCCAGGATTTAAATATCACGGGCTTCATTTGCATCTTGCCGGGCGCCGCCATTTTTAAATCCCTGTTAGTGCGGACTCCATGCCCGCGGCTACATGCAGCACGGAGTAGGTAGTTCGAACTAGGCTCTCTAATTCGAACTACCGTTACTCCTCGTGGAACGAGGTGTGCCGGTATTTCGAATTAGATAGCCTAATTCAAACTACCTACTCCGTGCCGCGTGTAGCCGCGGGCACGGAGTGCGCACTAACGGGGATTTAAAAATGGCGGCGCCCGGCAAGATGCAAATGAAGCCCGGGATATTTAAATCCCGGGCTTCATTTGCAACTTCGAATGCCTACATTAGCCACTCTAGTTCGAACTAGGGTGGCAGTGTAGACATACCCTAGGAGAGGTTCCTGTGAAAATATGGAGTGACTATAGGTCTAGATGTGAAAGAAGAGACTAGGAAAGTAGGCTGGCTGAGGTAAAGATAAAGATGGGGAAGGAACAGAGACAAAATAGCGATAAAGAGTGGAAATTGAGAGGGACAGAATGGTGGCTCCTCCACCATCAAAGTAATCAGAGTAAGTGGAATCCTCCTCCAAACAGCCAGCAGGATACCCACTTTTCAGGTTCAATTTTGAATCCAAGATACTCAGACACATGTTGGAGGCAGTTTCTCCCTAATGTGTCAAAACCCATGAGACAGTTAAAAGTCCCCTGTCACTCTGTCTGGAGTGGTTCACAAATGTGTGTGCCTACCTCATTGCAGACTCTCAGAAAACAGGGCAGAAACCTAGGGTTGCCAACTCTGAAGATATGCTATTAAAATCTACAAGATTGCTTTCAATAGTTTTCAGGAGATCGGTGCTGAATCTGGGAGCTCACAGGCCAATCCTGAATAGTTGGCAAACCCTACAGATACCTCAAACCGATGGGGTATTCTATAATTAGAATTCACCAATCCAGTGACAAATGTGAACTCCTGGCAGTGGTGAAAGTGGGACGGCGTGGTCCGGTATGCCACATGGGCAAGTTATTTTAAGCTGGTATGGGGCACTGGAAAGACCCTCTGCTGGCCGTCCCGAGCCCCACCACGGAGTTTCTGTGTCTCAGGCTGAGACCTGGAGGCAGGGATGGGAGCACCACGGTAGCCAGAGAAGGTGCTGGCGTTCTGCTCCTTCCCCCATTCACTGCCTTTCCCAACAGGGTAAAGAGCCAAAGTGCCAGCCCCCTCTCTCCTCTCCAGTCCTGTACATAGCAACTTGGCAGCTCTGTGGAGGGGCAGAGGCTGGGATGGGGACCAGGGAAAGAAGCTGAACTGCCAGCAGATTCTTCAGCTGCTCTATTGCCCCAAGATTCCTCTTCTCCCAAGAAATGTGGGATGGGGAAGGAAAAGTATGATTGGAGCATAGATTTCCTGGGATGTTGCTAATGAGTCACATGGAGGGAAGGTCATGTGGCTCCTCTTGGTTGGTAAGAATTTTTGTCCTTGTAAGAAATTTTATTTACTTGCACCACTGGCTTCTGCATCACTGTGCCAGTTTTACCATGGAGTCACACTCCAGTCTGTCTTGCAACACAAGAAAGCTCACTAATACCAAAAATCTGTATTCCATTTAGGTTGCTTCCAGTCCCAAAAGACCAGTCACTTACCCCAGAGTCAAAAGGTACTCTAGTTCTTACACCAAAGATAACAATGGTAGGCAATTCAATATAGGCTGAGCCTCTCTAGTCTGGCATTCTTGGGACCTGACTGGTGCAGAACCAGAGAATTTGCTGAACCATGGGAGTCAATATTGTCTAGTAGCGTTACCCACACTTCCACTGCTTACTGGGCTCTTAGAAGACATGTAGGGATAAATTAGAGCTAAATAATAACACAGAACACTGACAGCCAGGATACTAAAGGTTTATTAGCTAAGAAACATAAGTGAGAGTTATTGAGAGATCAAAGCAGGTAAAATATATGCACAGATGAGTCACAAGTCTGTAATTCCAAACGATGGCAGTGTTACAATAAACTGCCAGTTTCCCAAATGTCTTTTCAGGATACTTACATTGTCTCTTAAGGATCTCTGCTTTGTATCTGGGACACTTCCCTGAAAGAGGCCAGAGATCCAGGATTTTTCCATAAACCCATATTTATAGCTTCTTCTCAAAGAAAAATAAACTGACGGGGTCACTACTCATTCCATTTGATGACAGAGAGCAAGGTTGAATTTTTGACTTCTGATTATCACACAAAATGACTACTTGCTTTGAAACTAGCACTTTCCTGTTCTTCATTTGCATTCACAAGGCTTCTTTTTCATTTGGTGGCCTATTTAGTTACAGGGGTGTGCAGAATGTAAATGTTCACTGCTACACTATAACTAAGGCTGCATGTCTGTCACAAAGGTTATGTAAGTAATAGATTCTGTAACTTTGTGGGACTTCCATGACTTCTGCAGCTGCAGGTACAATTGACCACAGGGCTGTCAGCTGCTGGGATGGACCCCAGGGCCAGCCACACTACAGCAGCAGTCCTAGGAGTTGCCCCAGAAACTGTCAGAGCAGCAGTCCCAAGAGCCTTAGATCAGTCAGCTCCCACTGCCACAGCAGGGGCCAGCTGTTGGCTCTCAGTGCCCCTTAGAGTAGTGTTTCTTAAACTTTTTAAGACTGAGGAACACCAAACAATATTTTTTTTTATGAGAAGCATGAAAGATTTTTTGTTGAGAAAAAAAAAAGGTGGTGGGGGGGGAGTTATTGAGGAAAAAAAGGGTTGGGGGAAATTTATTGAGGGGAAAAAAAAGGTTGACTGCCCCTTTAAGGGTGGCCATTTGGAATTCTGTTGTTCTCCACAGCACACTTCCATCTGCCTCGTGGCACACTGGTGTGCCACGGAACATAGCTTAAGAAACACTGCCCTAGAGCAACTGTGCCCTGAAACCACAGGAGCAGCTAAGTTTTCATCTGGGGTATTTTTAATAAAAGTCATGGATAGGTCATAGGCCATGAATTTTTGTTTACTGCCCATGACATAGCCATGATTTTTAATAAAAGTATCATAACTAAATCTCAGCCTTAATTCTAACAGGATACAAATAAGTGAAAACACAAGTAATTTCCCACTTCTTTTCATGAAGTTTAAATATCAAATGCACTCTTACACATTTACTCTACCACTGTCACCCTTCCTCCATTTATTCATTTAAAATATCATTACTTTAAATCCATTTGTGATTTTAGGGGCTTTAACTCAAGATTTCTGAGTTAGGATGGCAATATTGTGTTAGTGGCCTCTGTCTCAAACTCCTGGAGCTACAAACTATAACATACCCTACCAGAAAACCTAACATTCCATATTTTGACCAGAGTAGAACATTATTCCTTAACAGCAGCCTCTAAAATCACAATGACATTTAAATGTGTGCATGTGAAGGGATTTTATTATTGTGTATCTGGTAGTCATACAACAAAACAAGAAACAAATGCCAACTTTCTACTGATATAGGCGCATTCTTTTCTAGTCATGGTAGGTCTTGAGTTAGCAGACCTTAAGGATGACTCTAATCATTCAGTCAAGGAATGGTTTTTAATGCTCATCCAAGACTTTACAAAGGAAAATGTGGACCTAAGACCAGTGTAATATTCTGTCTCTGTTTCACTCAATCAATCAACTTTTATCAACTGAATATATGCCTATTACATCAAGTAGCAATTGTTTAATTTACTACTGTAAGGGACTGAAATGCTACTATGATGTGAACAGGGTAAGAGACTATATAGAACAGTTTTAAAAAACCCTCTTTTCCTCTTATGTGCAGCATGCCTAAGTAACAATCTGTCAAATGCTATTAAAAGATGCACATACTGTATGCCACACTAGCAAAAATCCCAGTTCTCTTTCAATCTCTTGAATGCCAAGTTTAAAAGTATACTGCTATATGATAGTTCCACAAGGTAAAAGTTTTCTTTGTGATTCATGCATTCCTAGGGTTGGTTTCCTGGAATATATATATATGAATGTAGCTAGTTGTGTCT